CACTTCATGATTTTCTTGTGCTTCCCTGATTGTATGATACCTGATGTTAATGTATTTTGTTCTTCCATGGAACACCGGATTTTTTTACCATGGCTACAGCTGATTGATTGTCACAAAAAATTACAGTTGCATCAATTTGTTTAGCATCCAAATCCTCCAGCATTTTCCTCAGCCAAATAGCTTGATTAGTGGCCTCTGATGCAGCTATATACTCTGCTTCTGCTGTTAATTGAGCTACCATTTTTTGCTTCATTGTGTTCCAGCAAACTAGACTTGATCCCAGATGAAAAGCATATCCAGAGGTGCTCTTCATATCATCTAAAGATCCAGCCCAATCACTGTCAATTTAACCAACTAAATCCATGATTTCTGACTTTCTAAACCAGATTCCCATTTCAGCATTCCCTCTGATGTATTTCAGGACCCTCTTTGCAGTTTGGAAATGTAACTCACTTGGTTCTTGCCTAAATATGGAAAGCAAATTTATAGCAAAAGTGATGTCTGGTCTTGTGATCGTCAAATACATAAGGCGTCCAACCAAACTTCTGTATACCTTTTCATCAGTCTTCTTGTTTCCATCATCCTTCACTAGCTTTTTTTTTTTGAACCAGAGGAGTACTTACTGGTTTGCAATTTTCCATGTTGAATATCTTCAAAATTTCCTTGGCATACCTCCTTTGACAGATAAAAATACCATCTTGTGACTGGTTTATTTCCATTCCCAAAAAATATTTCATCTCTCCTAAATCTGTCATTTCAAATGCCTTCATCATTTCAGCCTTTGCTTTGTCAATTAAGACCTTGCTACTGCCAGTTATTAGAAGGTCATCTACATACAGAGAAATGATGATTGACTCCTCCTCCAACTTCTTTATGTACAAGGTTTGCTCATTAACATTTCTTACAAACCCTAGGCAGCTCAAATGTTCATCAATCCGGTTGTACCAAGCTCTTGGAGCTTGCTTCAAACCATACAAGGCTTTCTTTAATCGATACACCTTGTCTTCTTCTCCAACCACCTGAAAACCATCTGGTTGATCAACATAAATTTCCTCATTTAACCATCCATTTAAGAAAGCTGACTTAACATCCAATTGATGGATTTTCCAGCTTCTTTGAGCAGCAATGGCCAACAAAAATCTGATGGTTTCATACCTTGCCACCGAAGCAAATGTGCCCGTGTAATCAACACAATATTGTTGAGCATAACCCTTTACAACTAATCTGGCTTTCAGCTTGTTAATCGAACCATCAGGATTTAATTTAGTTTTGAACACCCATTTAACTCCTATCACATTCTGCCCGTGTAATCAACACAATATTGTTGAGCATAACCCTTTACAACTAATCTGGCTTTCAGCTTGTTAATCGAACCATCAGGATTTAATTTAGTTTTGAACACCCATTTAACTCCTATCACATTCTTATCCTTTGGTCTATCAACAAGCACCCAAGTCTCATTCTTTTCAATCATATTCAACTCCTCCTTCATTGCATTCATCCACCCTTTT